CTGCCCAACAAGATGCATCCTCCTTTTACAATATAGCATAGTGGTAATCACATCCTGTCTGCAAGCTAAAAACATCCCAGCGAAAGTAGCAATTGTGTTTGAAAAAGGGCTGGGATACTCTCCAGCCTCATACTGATTTCCTACCTCTTATAAAAGCCCCTGATTACTATCATTCTACATGGACTGTAATCACAGTTAAAAAAAAACCCAAAAAAAACAACAACTACACAACTCAGAAACTGCTTTCTGTGTTTCCAAGATAAATACTTCTTCCTTCTTTTTCTGCATGACCAAATAACCAAAAGGCCATTCATTAATGACTCATCTAATTTACCTTAAGCTCTCTGTTTTACACCCACATTCTGTTTTTTTTTTATTACTTTCTCTAAGTTATCTCAAGTTTTGTTGTAAATGTGGACACCATCAAGTTTTTTAGTTGGGAGTAAAAATCTGTGCTCTCTCAATATATGCAATATATCAGGTATCATGGTTTTTCTTTTCTCTTACAGATCTTCTGATTAGGTCCTGATTTGCAGTGACAGGCAGCCGTCCCACCCTGATGTTTAGTGCACACTCACTGAGCTTGAGCTGCGAGGGTTTGAACGTCAGCCTGGACTGCCAATCCGCTTCTGACAGAAACTCAAGTTGTTGTGATGACCTATCCAGCACCCAAACGTTCGCCCCCTTTGTGTCACAGCTATGAGCAATAGAAAGAAAGCCTTTATAACCATCTGTCCCGGTCTGTCTCAGCATATGAGGTTTGTTTGATTGAGGGAGGGGGTAGAACAGAATATGTCTAGAGGCAGAGCATATTTTTTCTTTCCAAAGGATAAAAAACTGTTTTGAAAAAGAAGTTTTAGATTTTAAATCTAACCGGTGAAGCTCAAGAAGGAGATGTTGTCAAGACGAACACATCTCTAAATAATAATAATAATAAAAAAAAACTCCTCATGTGACTCGTGTTTTGAAATTAACCCAAAATGGCAATAAGTCACATTATTGGAATCATGCCAGCACTCACATGAGCTTAGTGCAAAGCTCCAGGAATCTTATATCTTAACCCTAAGGATTATTGTAAGATTTTGTGCTGCACAATATCAGGAAAAATATGTAACTGCGAACATGCTGCTGAACAGTCACAATATACACTGTCATTCTTATTGCTGGAATACAGAATATGAATGCTGAAAATATAACGTAATAACAAAAGCGGCATTTAAGAACTCAATTGAGATTATTACATTGCAAACACCAATACTACTTTCATAATTGTGATATATCTGATTCAACTCTAATTTATATGATGTTGAGAAAAACATTTGAAGCATAATGAATGACTGGAAAAAACAATTTAAAACAATTTATGCAAAATCCAAATGCCTTCTTGAATGCCCTTTTTGAATTGTTTAACTACGTCTTTTGTGATATTAATAAACTACAACATGTTCCAAATGTAACAGTTGCAAATCACTTAACTCAATTTTAAGCCTTCCTGAGTTCAAGCTTCTCACCAATTTGCACATTTCCATCCTTTAGCTAAAATCCTAGAATGTGTAGGAGGTACAACAGATCAAAAGAATATTGTAGTACAAAGGTATCAGTCAGGATAAAGGTCCAAAAAGGCTACAGCATTACATATTCAAACATTGTAGACTGAAAAGAAGGACCATCAGTAATGAAGCAAAAAGAGACAAGTTGAAAACTTGACTGTTTGGTACATGTAGGCTTTCGGGTTTTAGCAAACTGAAAACTGTGTGATACATAATCAAAAATAATGCATTTTTTTTGGTTTTGTATTTATCTTCTAATACATTTCTGACATATTGAATTATACAGAATATAAGTCAAACGAAAAAAAAATCCTGCACTTAAAAAGGGATGCGTATGACTTTTATATGCATTGTCTACAAAGGGAAACTTTTATTTTGATACTTTTCATGCATTATACTGCCATATGTTTAATTGGGCTGTAATTTAAATAAATAAGTAAAAAATGCTTTTTAAAAAACTGCTTGAATTGCAGTTTATATTGTTGCTTAGGCAGTCTGTCAGTGTAATCCTGCAATGTTTCAGTGCAGAATTTTTTCACGGACTAATCACAGCAAGCACTCCAGACCTTAAGTCACCACAGCTCTGCAAAACTGCATTATCTTCACAACCATGCAAAAGAAGTTAGCATGGTTCCTTCATAAGAAGCCTTAGGTCATTAACAAACTCTGCCCTCTATTACTAATGTCAAAAATCCGTCTTTGATTGATCTGAACAGAGCAAATCTTTCCAAAAAGCCTCCGTGTTCAAAAGTTGAACCGGATTTATCACTGTACTTTTAGAGCTTCTACAAACAAGTTTGGTTAAAATTCAACTGTTGAAGACAGAAGCACACCTAAATTATAGCTACAATATGAAAGTTTAACATTCACTCGTTGGATAACAGTCAAATTCTGATCTCACTTATTCCTTGACATATATATGTGTTCAGGGTTTCCCGCAGTGGATTATAGACCTGGTGGCCCGCCATGCTTTACTAGCCCCACCGCCAGGCTGAGCCTTTCTTGTTTATGTTTTTAAAAAAAAAAAAAAAAAATTTGCTTTTTTTGGGAAGCCAAATTGCAAGCGTCTCTGTAGCTCTGAACGGTTCACTGGTGTAACAAATTTATTCCTGAAAGATATGTTCATAGAAGATAAGTTTATTGTTTATGCATTTAAAACCAGACCAATCACACCGCTGGCGCTTTGCCTCTGCGTGTTGCAGCAGGTGGATTAAGTTAACCTCTTCGAGGATTTATTTGTAGACAAAGAATTTTCAGCACCCGGCTCTAAATTAGCAGTTATGGGGCCCCTGAAGCCCTGAGCGGGCCTTATGAATCCACTGACTTAATTTGGATTAAACAGAAGTGCAAACAATTTCTATTCATTTGTATCTTTTGGTTTGTTGTTGTAAAGACTAGTTGAGGGTTTAAAGAACGTTTCACTGGCGATGTTTTCATATGTTAACATATAATTACCCAGTTTTATTTTTACATTTCCTGTCTACTTAACATCTTTTAATACAAGGTTAAAAGACCGGTGGTGGACCGCCCTGATCACTGGGCTTAGCAAGTTTTCTGGGGGGAACCTCGATGTTGATACTTCTAAAATACAAAAAATGAACATGCACCACTAGTTTAATTATATTCCCTTTATCTATAATGACTGTATATCGAATGTTTGGTTTTTCAATGAAATTTATAAAGTATATCTTATTTCTTAAAAGACAGAAATTTGTTTTCCCAAGGCTCAAACATCTGTTTTTTTTAGAATTTATAAAACTACAAAATTTAAAAATAAAAAAGGTACAACAAAAACTGTTAAGTCTGCAGAAATTTTCCAAAGTGACTGAAAAAAACGTACACATTCAGAGGTCCTGTACCACATGAGCTTCCACACACAATGATAATTAGCATGAATTGGCCTCATGACTTCCAGCACGCTCATGAGGGTTTATAACCAAGGAATTTCAAAAGCCTTGATGTCAGACATATGTTAATGATAAATACAATCATATCAAGCATAATGAAAAGTAAAGGGTTTCATGGAACAACACAGGCACCACCTTTGTTCATGCTGACTGAACTGTGGTAACACCAGCCTGACTACATAGTAGTCACATAGTGAATAGAAAGTTTCATGCCGTCTTTGCTCACTTCCTCATTCATCAGTCTTTTCAAGCATGTCGCTTTCTTACTGTTGTGATAACGCTGTAATTTTTGCATTACAAAATAGGTGGCATTATCAGTTGCCTGGCTGACTTCATAAGGGTTAACGTGCATTTACCCTGCTCCTTTCAGCTCGACTACTCAAGCTGCTGGAATGCAACAAGTTGGCAAGTGGGTCAAGTCTGGCAGCATTAAATAAAGAAGATTATTTAAGTTGAAACCAACATAAAAAGTCAACATGGGACTATACATGGGGAATGATAATTTTGCTGTGTTTCAAAATACTAAGCCATAGCAGGAAAGAGACAAGAGACTATATCCTTAAGCAAGCCCATAAACAGTTCATTCCAATGGTTCTCAAACATTTTACCACTCACTTATTTACTTCTGTTTTAATAATACCTGTACAGATACAGCGGTCATTCACTCATTTCACTTTATTTGTGTAGAAACAGTACATTATGGTGTAAAGTAGCTGCTGCTCTGGAAATAGGCCTTTAAGCCACCAGGCAGTTTAAAGGAGCCAATCAATGCCTGGACTTTGTCATGAGGTGGCATAGCAGTAATTTAAGACATTAACAATAAAAAAAGACTAACAGAGCAAACTTTCTCCCACACAAACTTTTATAGACAAATAGTTTATATTTTATGCTGCAAATGAATTTGGACATTTACAGTTTGTTTTGTTTTGATGAGCACAGACCAGTGTGATTAGATAACTTTTTTTGTGTGTGTGTGTGTGTGTGTGTCATTTTCTCTACATTACAGATAATTAGCTAAAAAGAATCACCACTCAAGACAACCCAGGTGCTAGTTTTGCGGGTACCACAGTTTGAGAACCCTGGTTTTATTCCAACAAAAGACATTTAAAAAAAACAAAAACAACAAAGACTGAAAGGGGCCAACTTTTCGAGGCGGCGCTTAGTCTGTAATAACAACGTGACCTACATTCCATTGATAATTATGAGCTGCTGTGATCATAAAGTGGAAAACACAACGAGCAGGCATGAAGGCTGCGGGAGTTTCCAATCTGGAGTCTTTGAACTCACGGCCTACCGGAATTAAACCATTATGATTATGATTATTATTATTATCCTGTCTCATTGCATGACCGATTTAGCGTCGCTGACACATTGCATCATAACTGTCAACAAGTCGCAAAGAATCCCTTCACACTTATCTGCAGCAGAGGAAACCTCACTGACACCTGACTCTCACCCGCACAACGTAACAAACAGCATCAACTCCAACCTTGAAGATTCTGTTCTGATCTATTTAGGGAATAAGAAGTAATGAATATCTTACCTGCTATGTCCCAGAGCTGGAGACGGACCAGCGTTTTGCTGTCCCAGTTGATGACTTTCAGAGCGAAGTCGACCCCGATCGTCGCCCTGTAGTGCTGGGAGAAAAGCTGGTGGACGTAGCGTTTGATGATGCTGGTCTTCCCCACTCCTAATTCCCCGATGACCAGCACTTTGAAGAGATACTCCTTGCACTCTGACACCGAGCCTCCGGCCATGCTGAGACTGAAAGCTGTTAGCGAAACTTTAAGCAACTTCTGCTTTCTCGGTCATATAGCTGCGCTGACGGGATCCGGGGAGAATGGGCAGGTCAGAGAGCTGGGTCGGTCAGGGAGTCCCCCAGTCCGCCCCTCCTTTTCCACTACTTTCTAATACTCCGTTTTCCTCCTCCTCCTCCTCCGCCCTCCTTCTCCTCCCTCTGCCACACAGTAACCACCTGATAAGTCATAGGACCCGGAAATGTCGAGTAAGTTTGACATGCTTCTGCAGTGAGTGCCATGAACCTTTGCTGCTCATTATAATCAGTCACTTTTCTGTGCTCTCTGCTCCCTGGTAATCAGTCACTAAAGCTAAATCGTCTCCTCAGTTCAATGTTATTTTTATTTCCTGAATCGATAAGCATCATTATAGGACAGTTATGAGTCTATGACTCATACGTTTGTGTTTTTAAAAATTGCTTTAGAGCAAACTGAAAACTTCTTACAAAGACATTTAGAAATAATACATCTTATTGTTTTAATGTTTCTCCAGCTTTAACTTATGAGTTAATATTATAATAATTTCTTTATTTCTTCTCTATAATGGATGTTTTTCTGTTCTGTCCTTAAGCACAAATGATAAAAGGTTCACATAGTTCTGTGTTCCTGGTAACAAAACGACAACATAACCTTGATGTATGTTTTAAGGAAGATGTATTAAGAAGTTAATTCTGCCCAAATTGAGTGTACTCTGCCTTGTTGTATTTACAGTAAAGTCAACAAGGGACTATTCATGAGGGTTGTGTGATTTGATACAGAATTATCAGTTTTGGGAAATTTATTATGAGCCATGTGCACAAATGAAAATATGAGTTTACCAGTTCATGGCTTTTGGATATGATAACTACTTCTCAAGTCACGAATAAAATCAAAGCTTTTGTTTTCTCAGCTCTTTTCTTATGTTGACTTTTTATGGAGGACAAATCCCGCCATAATCAAGAATAATAGACTACTGTAGTAATCTCATAAGTTACATTTAACACCTGTTTCTTTAATGTTGGAAACATGGCTCAAATATAATATACATAAACAGATTAAAATGTGCAAATTGTAGCAATTTGGAAAGCAATTGTGGGCAGTGACCAGACTTCTAGATATAAATAACTTTTATTTTTACAGCATTGCTCATGTCCAGTTTACTCAAAACATGAAGGCCTATTTCACTCTAGATTCAACAGTGTTAAAACAGGTGGCACCTCGTATATTTCACACCAGCTTAAATCATTAAACAACTTACACTATTTTCGACTAAAAGCATTTGGAAATACAATACAGTTGCACTACAGTGTGTACCATGTAGTCCTTTAACTTTAAAATTATTTTCCATCTTAAAGATTTAAAAAAGTAAGGGTAAGAAATCTAGTCTTAATGGAACTACTTAAGTTTATAGCAAGATTTAAGCAAAACTGAAACATGTATAATCCCATTACAGAAAGCAAGAGGATACAGTTAACTCAAGTTAGCTTAAAAGTTACCAAAAATTCAAACACACAGCATCTGCAGACAGTTTCAAAATGTATAAACCTTTTTTTTTTTCTGTTCACATTCTAAATATATAAACATTTATCCATATTACAAACATACCACCTGTGAGAAAAAAAGCAATTGATGGCTTAAACAGTATTACAAACTTTGAGGGATTGTACAACTTGTACTGTGTTTCAAATACAATGACACAGTAAAACTTTGAAAAACGTGGAAAAATACCAGCGCAGCATGAAAAGAAAAAAACATTTCTTTTTTTTTTATCACCTTTCTTGCCATTAAAACTCATTCCTATAGGTCTAAAATTTAGTGTAAACTGTATTAATAGCAATGCCATGATCTACAATAACACAATCACCTTCATTGGATAATTTATATAAGAGTTAAAAACAGGGATTGGCACATAATATGTATATCATACAGCTCAAGCCTTCAACTGAATGGCAGCTTGTACCGTCATTTGGTGTTTGAGACCTTTTAATAATTAGTATGTAACTAACTATTAATGTTTGGCACATTTCTTAATATTTTATTGTAAAGTCTCACTTAGGTCTCAAAACAAAACTATTTGAGGTGACATGAACCAAAAAAGAATATCTTTAACACAGCTGAGATGTCTTAACTCATCTGATCCAGACAAGAATGAGACGCATTTATTCTAACAAAGATATAAAACTTCTCTTTTTATAGCAACAGATTAATTCATATTTATCATTTTTGGTATGTGTCTGCAACTGTATTTTTTTTAAACAAATTTGTAAGATAGTAAGCCTTCATCAGCATTTCATCGAGCAGACTCTATCAGCTTTATATTACATTAGTAGAAACTAAGGTTATCCAAAGGTTATGCTGATTCTCCCACTAATTTTAATACAAGAACAATATTAGGTTCATGGTTCCCAAGTAGTCTTACAGTTCAGAAGCTATTAAATTGCTTTTTTTTTTCCAACTTTAGAGAAACGTGGAGTTAAAACTCCAATGTCTCCAGTTTGTTTGTTTCATTCAAATGTATAAAAAAATAGTAATAATAATAACTAAAAAAAAACCTTGAATAACCCGGTACATTTTTTTTTAAATAAATAAGTTTCAACTGATTTAAATTTGTTAAATTATCAAAGGAACAGTTAAGTATGCATTATCAATCTACCAAATGGAAAGCCAATTTCAGCATTATTTTAAGGAAAAAACAAAAATTGAGCTCATATGCCAATCAAGTCAAACCCAGAAAAGTAAAACCCAGAAAAGTAACCCCTAGAAAATTAAAAATAGAAAATGTAAAATTTGCAAGAAGCTTGTAGTCAGGTACACTTTATATATATATATATGTATATATATATATATATATATATATATATATATATATATATATATATATATATATATATATATAAACTTAACTTTTGTTGCCCTCAACAAACTGAAGATGTTCTCCCATCTGTTGTTGAACCAAATTGTGATTTTTATGTACCCTTACAGCTCTATGTTTAAAATAAAATTGTTTTTCTTACAGACCTTTTGTTTGCACCATCAAACCAAAGCTATGTATGCAAAGCTATGTATATATATATTATGATGTCCAGTGTTCGTTTGGCTTGAAAGAAGAGGCCAGTACTACAAAGCAGGTTTTTTGTTTTAGCTCAACTATCTCAACTAACTCTTGGTCAGCCTACCCTTCCTATAAGATTGACAGATTTGATGTCAGGGAATCAATGACAATGAAGAAGCAGAAAATAAAGGTCAGTGTGTTCAACACAAATATTTATTAACTTGTCAATATCAATGCCACACCATTAAGGTACAAATTTATCATTGTATATTGCATTATTTTAATATGTCCCACATGCAAAACTGAACGTTAGAAGAAAATAGACGATTTTGTCGTTTATCAATTAATTTTTTTAGCAAGTCTTAGGTATTTACCCGTTTTCCATTTGCACTTTATGTGATCCTCATAGCATTTAATCTTTAAATGTAGCCTAAGTTTTATTGTAATTTTATTTGCCTCTACTATTTTATTTTCCTCTAAATAATTCAAATTGTCATGTGTATGATTGTAAGTAAACTTGTCTTGTCCTCTGTAAACAAAAGTTATTTTGATCATGTTGGATGAGGACTGAACATTTAGTTCAACTATTGAAAAATTCATTCTCAGAAGTTGAAATAGTTGGAATTTTAATTCATGTTTGAGCATGAAAGCGCTTCTGAATTTGCTACAGAAAGGCAAACAAGTCTAAAGTAAGTTGGTTTTAAATAAAATGCAAGTAAGTTAGTGTTAAAGGGAAAATGTTCACCCTGTTTTGTGTGTGTGTGTGTGTACTGTGGGATACTGTTTCAGCCCATTGTACCATGTACAATGGGCAAAGGTCCAAATTGCATATATTTACTCCAAATTGTTGAAGAATTGACTTCATTTGGGTCAATGAAGGTTTGATGGTGGTACCTGAAGCCAGACCAAATGAGTTCCACTCATCTAAACAGCAAGATCATGGAGCTGAAAAGTGAGAAATTAAATATGTGCATAAAAGAATGTTTAATACTCTCTTAACATGTTCAAAAGTTGGATGTCCAGTGTTTGCAGGGCAGGTGTTTGCTGTTATCAAGACCTGAGACAAAGTTGAAATATTAAGAAAATGATTATTCCACACACTTTACCCTAAATACTATTCAAGTTAAAATCATACACTCCAGGTAATGAGGTATTGTAAATATCCAAGTTCACTTTCACTCACTTAAGATCTACAACATCACATTATGTAATTAAAGATTATTTAATATTTAAGCAAAAACTTTGGATGACTGAGTCTTTGTGATACATATAGATAATATAAATTCTGGTGGGATGTACTTCATGAACAGCATCTCAGTGAAAGTAATTTAGAGAGAGACAGAAGACACACTGACTCATTCTTCAGTTACCTCTGTCCTTGTGATTTATTCACACATCTGTTGAAATCTTATCTGGAAGCCTAAGCTGCTTCAATAAGCCAATAAACCTGCTTCACAGCACAAGCCTCTGATTGATTTTGGCACTCTTCCTTGTAATTTTATTTGAAAAAACATGTGCAATAACAGCCTTTCCCAAAAGCGCTTTTACAGTAAATAATTCCTCATATATTTATCCTTAAACTTCTTTTTTTTTTCTTTTTTTGTTTTTACTCACCTACGAATAAAAGAAATAAACTCAAGCGAGCAAATCACTTAATGAAAAATTTGAAAAGTTGTTTGTGTGAATGAGGATGTTTCTAAAGAAATGTCCATTGACTTCACCGGTTCTGCTCTCACAGTGTTGAGGAGCTGTGTGCAAAGTTTTGGAGGATATTCGAGGCGTAGACCGAGCTACCGAGCATGGAATCGATGATGGGGGAGTCGTTCGCCGAATCCCCTGAACACAGCGAGTCTCTGAAGGGGGAGGGGGGAGACAGAGCCAGAGAATCTTCCAGAATGGTCTTATTTGGAGGTAAATCCTCACCTTCGCCTTCATCCCCCTCCCCCTCTTCCTTGGCGTCATAAATGTAGCTGTGCAAGAGGTCCAGCTCCTCATCCTCAGACCCTTCGTCCTCAAACTCCCCCAGTCTTGGGTCTGAAGGAAACTGAGAGGGTATCAGGCTCAAAGGCTCATTGGCAGGAATTTGCTCAAAGGAAGAGCGGCTTTTTAGTGCAGGG